ACCAGTAAAAACTGGACTGGTGACTCAACCAACAACACAGGCAACACTGCAATCTCCAAAAACACGAAGAAGAAGTTACAAAATTACCACAAAGCCAACCAAAGCAACATTTATTTTAACTTTAACATAACATTTCACCAGCATTCCAGTCGTACTTCTGAAAGAGAGCTGAAGGGAGCTGGTGGCAATGTTGCTGTAGGAGGTAATGGATTGTCAGTCAGACTGAGTAAATTCAGGAGCAAGTTGCTCATGAATCACAAAAAGAGGCTTGGCTCAGAGACAGGTTAATTATAAAGCTGTTCTTGGTTTGTCCTAGGCAACTCTGACAACCTGTCCCAACAACATTCCTCCATGAAGCTGAGAGAACTGAGAACAGCTCACATCAGGCAGTATGGTGAATGTTCCAACATCAAAGGGCCAAAGGCTGCTTTTGTTCAAGAGCAAATAAGAACCTGTCTCCCATCTATTCATCATCAATAGCATATCTAGTTTTTGTTTGACTTGCCAAGTAAAAGTGTGTAATTTAAACATTTGTAAATTATTGTAGGCTGACATGTGACAGCATAAATTAAAAATCTGAAAATAATTCATTTTCAAAGTAGTCATAATTCTTTAAACATATAATTTTGAACCAACTTACTGACAGTTGTGCTGACAAGTCACATTACAACTGACTGAACCAGAAGATATTTTCTAGTTTTACCTCCATCACGTAATTAGACATATTAGAAAATGCACTATATTCACATCAGAAGCACACTAAAAGTTCGCCTAGAAACCCTTATGAAACCGGTAGCATTCCCAAAGATCTAAAGCAGAAGCTGCTCTGCTTGACTTGGAACCAACAGCAATTAAATGTGTATAAGGAGCTAACACTCATGCACAGCATATCTAGGTATCTCTATGCATGCAAACACAAGAACTTGGCAAGTTTTCATCTGTCAGCACTGCCAAGAACATTTAAACGATTTACGATCCTGCACTCAGCCTTTTCCAGCTCAGCTCTGTGTTTTAGAGCCTCAAGAAATTAGCAATTTTAAGATCTGTACTGCCAGTTGGTGCCTATCTTCAGGCTAAAAACACAATGTGATATGGCATCCAGCTACAACAGAGTGCTGAATTCAGTATTTAAACAGCCTCCAGACATTAGCCTGAAATTACCTCATTTCTAAGTGTGCTTGGCAAAAAGCTCTGCATACATCCATTTCTCAAATCTACAAAAATGTAATGAAGAGCAAACACTAAAGATATGAATCGTTGACATTCATTTTCAGACAGAATGAGTATGACGTTTTCATCAATTTTACAAAGAGATCAACCATTTAAATCTCTCTGTATCACATACTGCAGCAAAACTGCAATAATCAATTTTGGCTGGCTTAATGGCATTACTGTATGCTACCAGAATATGTGCACAATAACAGCATATTTCTGAATTCCAACCTATGAGCAAAAGCAACTATTGCAATCACACTGTCATCAACAGAGAAACACTTTTATTTCATCTGGTGTGACTTAATTCCAACTTCCATCTCATTTCTGGTAGATAAAAAGCATGTTGGTCTAGAAAAACGTAGAGCCATATGCTTCTTTCTCTATCCACGACTCACTACAGATAAAGCTAAAATAAATTCCTGCCACTGTATTTGATTTAATGTGCTCCTGTAACAAGATCCATGTGGGACATTCAAGTGTGTGGTGGGGGTCAAAATGCTCCATTAACTCTGCCAAACTCATTTTTCAAGTCAAGCTGACTCGCACTCTCTTAATTTTTCTCACCATTGAATAAGGACAATCTCGATATTGTATTTTCTGCAAAATAATAATTCTGAGGCATGGCTGCCAAATGTCCGCCGACACAGATTCATCCCTTTTAAGTTAAGTCACTAAGATAGCCAAGATGTCCTTGCTCGAAGTTACAATGAGGTTAACATTACACCATACATAATATGTTCTAGCCATCAGAATACATAGTATATAACCATGGGTTATATATATATATATAACTGGGTTTTCAGAAGACCACTACTTCTACCACTTCCACTACTAATATTCATTTATATCTTGTGTTTTCTTCAAATTATTTTATAATACATTGAATAGGAATACTCACCTTGAATATGCCAACCCAGTCCTTTGGATGTGGTTTGATGAACTGCGTCAGGGTATAGTGACACTCCAGCGCAGCATGCGGCAGGTAACTCTTCCCCACATTTTGGAAGATGACGTGGGCAAAGTTTGATGTGTCCATGTTGTTGTCTAATAAAGTCCCGTCCAGGAACAGTGCCATAAATCACTCAGTGGTGGCTACACAGGAAGAGACAAGCAACAAAATATATGATTAGAAACAACAACCACAGAAACAACAAAAATAACACTCTTTACAATGACTGAGAGTAACTGAAACCAGTTCTATACAAGGAAGTTAAATTAATTCTGAGATTCTAACAATTACTGTATATTGGTATTGAATAATATGTCATTCATTGTATCAATTATCTAGTTTACAGCAATTTGAATCATATCTTTATAACATTGCTAAGAATGCATGCATTTTAATGAGGGAACATGTCCTCTTTTTGCTTAGGCTGACCATTTCATATTCACAGATCCATAGTCAGTTTCAGACAGCAATACATATACATAATACTTTATGATTTTAAGTGTAAATGTTGACTGCTGAAACACACTTACACTGATAATGCTGACAGGTATGCAAAGGATTATGTGACTATGTGACTACACTTTGGCAACAGTTTCCTTCCTAAAATGCAAAACTGAAACAGCTGCTCCAAATGAGAAAACAGACCTATCCTCAGTGGTAATCCAAGAAGAGTTGAATCGAGGGCAACTGGACTTGGCTGTAGATACTTTGAGGTGAAACGTCTAAGTATCTACAACCATGTCGAATTGTGCTCGATTCATCGTTTCCTGGATATCCATGACCTGGGTGACTGAGAATCTTTAAAGATACCCTCAGTGGTGTAAACCATATCTACTAATAAAGTAGAAATAATTTTACAGTAGTGGACTTTGTACCTGACTCAAGTATCTTTCTGATTACTTTCATTTTCATGTATTATGAAAGTAAAACTCATATTTATACCCTTAAAACTAACCAGTCTACACTACAAATTCAATACATGCAGGTAAATAGATTATTTAATTTTGAAAATAGTAACATATCATTTGATTTTGTTTTTCCCACATAATTTTATTTTACTGATTTGTCCCTGGAGCAGCCTTCATCATGTTTAACTTGTATGTTTTAAGGTAGTTAAGAAAATGTATTTGTGAACAATGATGAAGCATAACTTAGTTTCGCTTTTGATGCTTTGATGGGTGACATTAATTTTTATTTCAGTCATTGTTTTTGCAAAATAACTTTTCGTTACGTTTACTAGCTTAAGTAGTTTTAACCTAGTATGCATTAGCTTTATAATCAGGTATATTAAATACTTAATAGTGCCCATTAATTTAGATGACAGCAGAGAAAGACTCTTCTTACTACAACTGGCCACATTGATTGCATTTGGGCCTCAGCTGATATAATTTTGCCCGGCGTAATTAGGCCTGTGACAGTCAAAACATTTCCTCAGATGATGATCAGAAACTCTGAACAATATTGTGGTCTACAGCAATTACGAAGTTCTCAACCTGATGTATGAGTGGTCAAAAGTCCATAGTAGTGGCTGAAATTGACGACTTGCAACTACAAACTACGCGGCGAGGCCTAATGTGAAAACAGATCATATCTGGCTAAGTTAGCTATACAGCTAACTAGCTATCGTTTGACACATACTTTAAGGACAAGAATACGTGTCAAAGCAGGACAAATATCTATTTGTTACTTGGAAAACCTACTGGGCAAAATATCCACTTTAACTAGTAAATTACATAGCGTTAAGTTAGTAACGTTACAACGCCCTTAACGTAGAAAAACAGAGCAGCTAACTACGGAGCACTGCTATCAACTGGAGGACAAGGTTAGCTAACGTAAACAGTTAGCAACGGTGTCTCTCGAGATAGATCCTAAAAACTCGTGTCAAACGGTTTAATCGGCCATGTTAATAAAATAAACCTTAAACATACCCAATTGCCATGTTGAACTGACGCTGAAATCCGAGTGTAACATGAAAACAATTGTTGACGCAGTTCAGTGCTTTCCCTTACCTTCTTCCTGGAATAATAACAACATTACGTCATTTCCGTAAAAGGGGACCTGCTCGGGAATCCCACCCGACGGAAAAAAAGTTTACAATGAAACCAAAGAATTCATGTCTCATATAATTAAAGAAGAAGGTTATTACATAGATTATTCTATAATTTGAATATAAATATATAAATAAAATATAAAATAATCAAAGAATGCATGCACAAACAAAAGTTTTTTTTCCAAACTGATTTAAATAGCAGTGGTGGAATGAACTAACTAAAGACCTTTTAGCTACTTTTCTTAGCGTACTTAATATTTTTGCTTCAGAGATGAGCAGATCTGTTATGAAATAAAAAAAAAGATAAAAATAATAAAATATAGGGTATATAAGTAGTTTTACATTTGATACTTAATGTAAATTTGGCTGATAATGCTTATGTACTTTTACTTAAACGCAGTTTGAATGCAGGATTTTTTCTTAAGTATTTTTGCAAGGTGGTACTGCTTCTTTTACTGAAGTAAAGGACCTGAGGAAGTTCTCCCACCATTGTCAATAAGACAGTCCCAAAACAGAGCTTCTGGGAGACCTGCTGAAAACAGGTACAGCCTGTCTCGGGAGACTTCAGATATTTACATTGATGTAACGTCATAAATATGAGCACTAAAAAAGAAATTTAACAACTCTTAACTGTTTATATGAGAGTCTGAATATATATTTATATCAGACCCGCCCCCTATAGCTCAGTGGCTGAATTTGGGAGGCCGTGTTGCGCAGTTCTGTTATTTGATTGGATAGAGGAATCGTCATTAACGTACGTACTTCTACGTCACACGTAAGGTCAAGAGGAAAGAAGCATGGCCGCTGTGTTGCGAGCGTCTCGGTGCCTAGTTGGAAGGAGTTGCAGGCATGTCGACTATGCACTTGGTAAGGAGAAAAAACTGAGCCTGTGAATGCAGTGTGCACGTCGCTGCGCATACGTTAGAAGCTCAAGTTGTTAGTCGAAGGCCCTATGTGACATAAAAAACACTAGTTTTGCTGGAAATGTTGGAAGAGAAGTTTCAGTTCTTTTCCATTACATTGGGTTTGGTTGTTTCCTTTGCTGGTTGAGGGGCTTTTCTGTTAAAATTTTGCGCCGAATTGTTTGCCAGAGCTGCAATATTTCAAAACGCCGGAGGTTAAAAATTGTCAGCATATGGTCTTATGTCCTACTGTACCCCGTCTGCCTGTTTTATTTAAGGCACATTATGTAATGTCAGTCACCCTGCACCTTTTGAAAGAAAGAGTCGGTGACTCTCAACCAGAAGTCAAATGAGCGGCTGCGAGGGAAACAATACAATACAATCTCACATAAGTGTATAATATACAGTATGTAGTCATTTTATTGTTAGTTTGAAGATAAACTTAAGGATTCAAAGTTATATCTTTGGCGCATGTCATCTAACACTGAATTGATGTTGCTTGTGTTGACCTGTTATCAAGGTCTACTTAGGTAAGCACTGAAAAAGCTTGGGTATCATTAAATCAGATGACTTTGACACTGAAGGGCGACTACATTGGGTTAAAATGTAAATTAGACATAAACTGCACTCTTGGCCATGGTAAGAAGTCACAGCTGAGCAACACTTTTCTTTATTAGCACCAGATAAAATGTTCTACCTATCCAATACAATCTAAATAGATATCTACAAAAACATTTTTGGTAAAAATTAGGCATCTTGAAAAATAATAAGCATTTATTTTAAATTCCTGATTATGTGACAAGGATAGTGTGTCTTGTCATTGATCCATTTGGCCATTATGTTGTAGTCTCCACAAGGTCTATGGCCTCAAAGACACAGGTGGGGTTTATTGGTCTGGGCAATATGGGAAACCCAATGGCAAAGAACTTGCTGAAGCACGGATACCCAGTCATTGCCACAGATGTGTTCCCGGAGTCCTGCAAAGAAGTGCAAGAGCTGGGTGCTCAGGTGAGATAGTAAAATCCACACAAGTCTTTTTTTTTTTTTTTTTTTTTTTTTTTAAATGTTTCCCTGTTTGTTTGCTTCTAGACCCGTGCTTTTGTGTGTTTTCTCAGATTGTGGATAATCCTGCTGAGGTAGCAGACAAGGCAGACCGCATTATCACCATGCTCCCCTCTAGTCCCAATGTCATAGATGTGTACACTGGACCCAATGGCATTCTCAAGTACGCTTTGGTCTCTCTTTTAATATGTGCAAGCTAACTGCATGCAGCTATCATTCACCTAACCATTATATATTTTCATTATATATTTTTCTCAACAGAAAGGTCAAGAAAGGCTCCCTCCTCATTGACTCTAGCACCATCGACCCAGCTGTTTCAAAGGAGATGGCTGCTGCTGCAGAGAAGATGGGTGCAGTTTTTATGGATGCACCTGTATCAGGAGGTACATATTACATTTGTGATCATGATTTAGGTTGTATGTAGGTATATATTATTTATATTCCAATTCGCTAGAAATACAATCAGATTACCTTCAAATTATTCAAATTTAAATACAACAGTCCTGCAATAAATGCTACCATCGTGAAGGTTATAATGTTCTTGTATAAACTGTTTTCAAGAGGTTAAACTGTATGCTCATTTTGGTGGCCCTTGTGGTGCTGGGACCTGAAATGCATTATAGGTGCTTCTAATATTTAGTAAACCATCTCTGAAATAAATAGGTGAAGGAAAACCGAGGGGTTTAATAAGCTGGCAATCTATTATAATATGTATATATTAGTGTTTTTAAGCAAATCAAATCAAGAATTCCTCCAATTGTATAGCCTTAACAGTAATAATAATAATGTAGATTCAACATTATACTTGGTCATACCATGGCCTCCTATATGTATTACTGTAACTTCATGTGTTGTATGTGTAAACTGCAGGGAAGGGGCTTTGATTTAAATGCAGCTGTGCAACATAATAACTGTACTCACCAGCTGCTTTAATGTTATGTAAAGTTGAACCTAAAATACACACAAGCACATACTATTTCGGGGGAGGCAAATTCAGTCTTAGTGCCGCTCTTTGCTTGAGCACTTGTTAATAAAGTGCACCAACAACAGCCTCCATCTGAGGAAGAAGAGGAGGAGCTGCTTCTGCCTGCACAAATGTTTCTAACTACAGCGTGTGCTCTCTGACTTTCTTGGGGGTCCACACAGAAACAGTTTGTTTGAACTTGGCCTCGTCAATGTCAGGACAGCCACTTTCTTTGACTTGAAGTTGGTCCATTTTATGGTTTGGCGGCCCTAAAGATTAGTAATGATTTATATGCTTCCGTCCTGTGGTAGTGCACATGGATTAAAGTCGTCCTGCTTTCTGCCTTGAACTTCTGTGTATCTGTGTGTATGTGTGCGTGCATGTGTGTGGCAGCAGCAGTTTAACTAGTGCAAACTGAAGTGTATGTCATACTTTAATGTCATGTCTATCACCAGGCTTTTGCTCCTAAATGAAGCTTTTTGAACATCGCCAGTGGTCAGGCAGTAATCAAAAGAAGTACAGTGGCATGGTTGTGACTGTTTAACCCAGTGTGGTTAAAGCTTAAACATAAAAGCACACATGGTGGTGGGGACATAATTGAGTCAGCATGTGTCTAATAGTTGTTTTTTCGTGTGGAAAAAAATGTAAGGACCCAGACGAGATAACTGCCATCTTTCATTTTTCCTAAATAAGTCAAATTTGAAACTGGTGATGTAGAAGAAAAAAGTATTATGAAGAAACATTGCATGTAGTAATTTCTCGGGAAGGGTTAATCAATCTGGGACATCTCTGACAGGGAGCGACCACGCAGTTTTCCAGTAAACATTCCTAAATAAGAAATGGATCATCTTTGACAAAAATGTCTGCTGGTCAGGTTTTTTTTTTTTTATACTCCAAAAACAATTTGTACTTCTTTAGATGGAAAACAACCATGCTGCTGTAGTTTAAAGTTCCACTGGCTCCAGCTTCCCCTGGAGAAAATCCACAAACCTGTTCTCTAACGGCTTTGTTATTGTAACCAAAGGGCATATAACAGATGTAGTAGACTTATCGTGATTGTACCACTCACGAGAGAAATGACACCTTTTCTCGTCTTTTGAACCATGGACTGGATATTAAGTTCAGATCTTTACATAGGTGTCCTTTCAGGGCATGCTGTAAGGGTTTTTTTTTTTTTTAAAGAGTAGATTGGAACACAATTTTTAATCATTTTTAAATGATGCAAAAATCAATCATTAATCCAAAATCATTAGAGAAGTTGTTTAAAAATATTTTAATACTCGCCCCTATATGCAGTTAATTACTTCAATGATTGAATCTCAAATTTCTTTTCCATCTATACTGTGTGCACCTCTTGGACAAGTCAGTTTTTAGTGTTATCCAGTTAACACTGATATTTCTCATTTCAGTAACTGACTTCAAATTCATTAAGACTGGATCTATCTGAGTCTCATACAATGAAAGCAAATCTGAAGATGCAGTTATCCGTTCCGACACAGCTACTGGTCATATTTCTTTCTTTCTCCGTTTTTACTGTGAACGGCAGAAATCTCAGTGTCGACTTTGCTGTGTTAAATGAGTTCCATTTTACATCTCGTATATCATCTTTAATTACCACTATTATCTGTGAATCTATTACTCATGCATTACCCATGCATTTGTTTTTTGTTTTTTTGGCCTAACTGTTGAAAATCCCACTTGTCTCCACCAGTTCAGTCTCTAACTTCCACTTAATAGAAAATGCTGCTGGCAGACTGCTCACAAAGACTAGGGAGAGGGAACTGTATTACACCCATTTTTGGCCTCTCTCCATTAGCTTCCTGTAAACTTCAAGATTAATTATATATTAAGTATGCTGGTTAATTTCTTGAAAACCATGTGGCTTGCATCTGGTTATTGTGTTGTTACTGAGCTTTTAACCCCATGTGAACCAGAATGCACCGTCAAATATACCAATAGATCCAGAAACAGCTGTTCCTAAATCTAGGAAGAGGCTGACCAAACTTTTTCCAATTAAATCCTGAGGCTTTGGACTGACATGCTGAGTGAGAACAGGCTAAATGGCTTATTGTCCTCATCCAATTTTTTTTGTTAAAGACAGACTTGGTTTTAAGACTTAAATGACTGATTGTTTCCTATTTATTGTAACCTTGCATGCAATACTGCTTTCTCATTTGTGTTAATTTTTATACGAGGCACATTGCAATTCTGTTTTGTGAATAAGATTCATAGGTCCCCTATTTACACCAAGTTAGTCCCTGTATTTCCAGACTACTGAAGGAAAAATTATCCTGTTTTTTTCTTCCCTCACTTCAAAAGCATTAAATTTCTATTAGACATGTCCATTAATGTCTTTATTTATTCTGGATTATGTTCAGACACCTTTTTATAAATGTATTTTGTAGCCTAACGATTGCTTTTTTTTTTTTTCTTCTTTTCTTTTTTAAAAGCATTTCATTATTTTTCTTAGAGAGCTGACAGGAAATAAGAGGGAGAGATCGGGCTCGATGTGCAGGAAAGATATTTAAACTTGTATTTATTTCATTATCTTCTTTTTTTTTTTTTTAATCTCAATGAAACATTTCTGGTCGTACTGTTTGTCTATGTTCCAAAGAAAGCTTTGTCCATCAGGACAATGAAGGGTAGTGAAGTAGACTGAAGACCCATACAGTGTGGCTGTTGTCAGGCAACAAAACACTTGGCTTCTTGGGGAGGTTTGACCCTTTCATGCTGTTTCTGGAGCTCTAAAAAGAAAAGACGAACTTCAGTGTAAAGTGTCTAAATTTTTTCTTATTGAAGGTTTTTCTTAGACACTACATGAATGAAAAACTTTTTTTTTCTTTTTTTTTTTTTTTTTTTAAATATTGTGCTAAACGAGTAAGATAAAGGCTGGTAGTTGCTATTCCTTCTACTTTAGAGAATGTTGCTTTGATTAACATTATGACTTTTAGTTAAATCATGACTTCCTTCAATCTGCTTTTTATTTAAACTGATCCTATCTAAACTTTCAGAAAATACTGCGCTAGATACCAACCATCACTGCATGCCTGCACATGGGTCATTGTATGTAAGCATGATATCCCATTCCTAGGTGTGGGTGCCGCTAGTTCGGGCAAACTGACTTTTATGGTCGGAGGAGCAGAGGAGGAATTTACTGCAGCTAAAGAACTACTCAGCTGCATGGGAGCCAATGTGGTTTACTGTGGTCAAGTTGGAACTGGACAGGTATGAACAGATATTTCATATTAACTCTGAAATGTTGGGATGCATTTGTGATTCAGATGAAGTGTGTGTTTTTGTTTTTGTTTGTTTTGAAGTTGAATGGAAGATAGTAGTTGATCGACTGTGTATGTACTTGTTAGCCACTTTTGTATGAATAAAAATTGTAATAGTCCTAAAATATGATGCATATGTTGCAGTTATTGATTACTAATACTCTGTCATCTGTTACAGGCTGCTAAAATCTGTAACAACATGCTTTTAGCAATTGGAATGATTGGTACGTCAGAGACGATGAACTTGGGAATCAGGTGAACACTCTTTTGGACACAAACAACAGGAAACTGATAATAATCATGTTCGTATATGCAGCTGCAATATATTTTCTGTAACATTAAACATTTTTCTTCATTCACAGACTTGGTCTTGATCCTAAACTGTTGGCCAAAATCCTGAACATGAGTTCAGGCCGGTGCTGGTCTAGTGACACCTACAACCCTGTGCCTGGAGTCATGGAGGGAGTCCCCTCTGGGAATAACTATCAGGGAGGCTTCGGCACTCAGCTGATGGCGAAGGTCAGTTTTAAGTCATGTTAAACTCGACAGGACTCCATTTCCTGGGCCTGTGTCTCAGTTTGGGCATTAGTATTTCCACAAAAATGTCATCACAGGCCTTGTCATCACAAATATGAGGTAATAAAGCACATTTTCTGATAATAATAGGTATTTTTCCTCTGATTATTGTAGAGAAATTATTTGTTCCTATGAGCCCAAATATGTTTGCAACGAAAACAATACAATTGCTTTAAGTGGATTTTTTTTTTTTTTTTTGAATGAAATGTTATGCATGTAACAAGGACTTTAAATGACTTGGAAAAAAAAAGAATTTCTGTCTTTGGTCACACAACTTAAAATGATGCTGTGAATTACTCAGCTGCAGTTTACGTCCCTCTTTAAAGGGAATCAAGCTCATATTATTACAACATAAAGAAAAATTCTCTGTGGTGTGTGGACTGGTGGTTGTGGTTTGAGAGTTTAATTTTCAGCTCCACTGGTTTTTCTTTTCTGCTCTTTCTTTTTTAGGATTTAGGCCTCGCACAGAACACAGCCACCAACACAAAGACTCCTGTCCCCCTCGGCTCCTTAGCCCATCAGATGTACCGTATGATGTGTGCACGCGGTTATGCCAATAAAGATTTCTCCTCCGTATTCCAGTTCCTGCGTGAGGAGGAGGGCCAGTAATGTCAGCCTCCACCCCGTCCACAGCCTTGCCTTGCCAGGCCTGGCCCTGCACAGGACTGACATAGTGTAGTTAGGGTGCATTTTGCACTGAGGACTCTCTTTTTTTTTTTTTTTTTTTTTTCAAAGTTGTGAAACACATGAAGCCCAGAGAGCTCCAAGACAGCGTGACAGATCATGTGAGCACTTCTCTCCTATTGGAAATCATGTTTCCTGTGTGATCTAGCCTTTCTGAAATAACACACTCCTTTTTAGTTTTAGAAGCAAGTGAATTGCCAGATTTGCAGATGTGGATCCAGAGGATGAGTAAACTGTCGAGCAGTGGCAGCTTTGCAGATTGCATTACTGAAAATGCAAACAGCATGGTGGGAATCTGTGGTGTTAAGAAGACAACTCATAATCTGTCTGTTTCAAGGCTAAACATCTGCAAACACTGTTTAGTCTCCACATATTTATCTTTTGTTTGTGATCATTTCTTTACGTTGCCTTTTTTTCTGTTCATAGGGGTTATTTCTCTTCACATTGGAAATGTTACTTTGGGATAAGAGTGTCATATCCTGGTAGGAAATAAAGACAAATTGTGATGTCTTTAACTTTGTGAAAATTTAATTTACCACCTTCCTTTATGGTCCATCCTTTCTTCCTCTGTGGAACTTCAGCTTAACTCTAACATGAAATTTGCAAACTGCAGGCACCATGTTTACTCAGTGATTGGGATGTTTTGTTGTAGCACTGTCAAATGATGTTGTTGTGGGAATAATTATCACACAGATTCCATGGGAAGATCTTTGCGTGGAATCAAACATGGGACGCAAACTTGCATTTAAATGCAGCCAAACCTCAAACACAGAAGAAGACAGATGCTGATTCTCGCGGTGAAATGGCAATTTTAATTCTGAAAGCCTTGTATTGCACAATTTTCCTTCATGACTCTGAACCCCAGTAAGTTAAATAGCTCCCAAATGTTTTAGTTTGCATCCTGTGTCCCACTGGTTCAATAGTCGGGATAAAATGTAGGACAAACATTTGCCTTTAGGAGCCTGGCTGCAGTGGCGCGATGCGGAGAGAAAATCACTAGACCTGAACATTGTTCCAAACGATAAGAACGCATCAACTTTTTTTTCAGTTAGAACTAAATTATCCAGCACATCTTATCCCGATGCTAGAAATTCTTCTTTAATGCGGAGTTATTTTTTTGTTGTTGTTGCCTACCTCACAAATATGAAAGAAAGTTGCGATCGACTGTTGCACCCTGTAGTCCGAGTCTGATTTTTCTTCCTTTTTTGGTGGGGGTGGGGGGTGGGGGGTCTTCTCTATCACCACTTAGGCCAGACCAGGAGGGCGGCATGTTTCTGATGTGCTTTGCCAAGAGCCACTGAGGGGCCAAGGTGCCATAGGTCATGCGATCACAAGACAAACCCATAAAAAGTCCATTAAGCACTGTAGGCAAAGAGTTGTGTTGTCATCTGCTTGATAGGTGCTGCAAACAGAGCAGCTCTTTGGTGTCAGGCCTCCAGCAGATTGTGTCACACAGACCCTGACATCATCCGCTGCAGCGCGCGCGCGTCATTCCTCCTGATCAGCACTTTTTAATAAGCTTTGATTTCTTCTATTTGTGGTTTTATTCTGAAACACCGCGATGATACAGATGTGTACCTTGTGTATAGGCCTGTGTCATTTTGCAACAGCTGCATGTGCATCAGTCAAAAGGTGCATGTCGCCCATAGCCTACTGTTTTTAAGTTTGTGCCCACAGATCGTCAGGAGAGGTGTTGTTAAGATGACATTTCCTTTTGTTTTTCTCTCCCGGATTGTTTTAATCAATTTTGTGTTCACGCGCAACAATCCGAAGTTGTTGGGCTTTTTGATTGTTTTCTTTTTTTTTTTTTAATTTTGCATTTGAGGCGATGACAGTCATACGGATCTATTGTCCAATCTAGCCTATGTGGTTTCGGTGAAGCCTTACTTTTCCAATAGTTTACAATATATTGTATTATATATTGTAAAACAGAAACAAAATCCCGCTTTTTAGGAACTTTAAAACACGATTTAGATCCAAAGTACATTAATAGCCTATATTGTAAAAATAATACAATATATAACAGCAATAAGATACATGGCATAGCATCATTGTTTTTATTAAGATCGGCTCCGTGAAGCCGTCTCCCTTAATTCAGCTGATTACAATATAGGACTATTTATTTTTTATTTCCCATGACACGTGTAGTTTTTAGACTTTACAAATTGTTGTATTTTAGTGATAAATTGACGTTAGTTCGGTTTTGACTTCCAGTGAAAACGCTTTTTTCGTTTGTGATAATTAAACATTTAGAGTAACACATGATTTATATTCGGCCTCACTGCTTCAACCACTGTCATTAATAAAACTGTTTCGCTTATCATTTAATTTTTAGACAAAGTGACACAAAATAATAGCTTTATTCAAATAAATATTCCTATTTTGCACATTTGCATGTATTTGAACAAAAGCCCCACCCCACCCCCACCCCCCTGCGTGTGTGTGTGTGTGTATGTTTTGACAACATATTGAACTGGAAATTAAATGAATAAATGCAATGTTTCTTTATCAACAAACTAGACAATTTAACTGCTCATGTGACAATACAGTTCAGCCGCCCACTGATGTGAGATGATTCCTGTCCAGCCAACTCTCACTTCTCCCAGTTTTTAAGAAAGTGTGTAATTTCTTTCTGTTCAAATGCACTGTGCTATAGCAGTAGGCTAAATAAAAAAGCCGATTAGTCGACCATAAGGTCGGTTATCAGGACGTTGACATTGAAACAAGAAATGACTTGAACTTATTCATTAACATAAAACATTGTGCTGTTTTTTCCCTGAAATGTAGACCAATACTCACTCTTGCCTACAAGCTATGAACTTGGGCCATAAAGATTTACAGCCTCAAAAGGTGGGAAAACTCTATTAAAAATAAAAAGGTGCTCAAATTTAGGTGGGTATACATTCCTCTCCTTCTGTGGTCTCTCTTCAATATAGAAATGTAAAACAAAAAACGAAAGACGCACGATCTGAAAGTTTTAAAACTATTTAGATTGACACTAATCTTAACCTCGTCTGTCACCGGACTCCCACACCACTGAAGGTTTTAGTGTCGTGTAGGCGTAAAGCGTAAACAATGTGTACCGTAAACTGTTTTTAGCTCTGCGTACTGCGGAGGAGGAAAACACGAGCCCACCTGTGGAGGTATCCAGAGTGTAGAAACATACAGGCATAGACTGGTTTATTTCCCTATGAGTCACTTTTTTTTTTTTTTTTTTTTTTTTTTTTTTTTACTCTGTTAGACAAACAAAATGATCTATTTCGAGTTTTGATTTTGATTATGTAATCCTATAGATTTTTATTTTTATTCCCAAAGCCTGACGTGAAGGAGTAAAGTAGACGAAAAACAAAACAAATGAAGGTTATTTGTTCTAAAAAAAAAACGAGCACATTCCGTCGATGAGATCTCCTCTTCTCCACTAAGCTGTGTTTTCGCTTCGGGCTTCCTGGCCTGAGGTGCCTATTTGGCCAGACTGCAACTTTCAACTTGACCTTGGCCTCCAGCCGCGTCCAACCGGTATGAGGAAGAGTGCAGCCAAATGTGGCATGCTTTTGATATTTTGTGGACACCTTGTGTTTACATTGACGCGTCACAGTGCCAAATGTGAGGATGAGTAAATGTATTAATGTTGCTATAATATGAATTTTGAATGTCTCTAAGATATATGTTTCTATTGTATGTAAATCCGTCATTTAACAACATGATGGCACATTCTGTTAAAGCCTGAACTTTTGACTGAAAGCGCATAAAAAAAGCTACAATCTTAAGCTATAAAACCAAAATCATTTTAATGCAAATATTTTAAATCCTTTTTGCTTTACCCTTGAAGTAAAGGCGCCTGTAACTTTATTGGCACGCGTAATTGCGCATCAATTCTGCTCAAACAAATGCATATATCACTTCGTTTTTTTTTTCTCACGCCATGTTATTACACAATTCGTCATATAAGCCTGCTCTGCTTGCACTATTTGATAGAGAAGATTGTCTTCATATCCCAGCTTCTCTCTGTTCAACATTCACAATATCACTTGAGATTGGAGAAAAAAAATGCCTGTGGGGCGTGTTTGCATAAAAAACATGGATATGCTGATGTACTGTACATCTTCACAAACACACAGTTTGATCTGCATTATCTGATGTCTAGACGTTTATCATCTCCTTTGCATATCACGTGCTTGGCCCTGGCCAATAACCTCGCGATCTTTATGTACTCAGGCGTGTGGGTATCGTTACTCTGCCCGAGTCCCTGTCTCTGTTCAGTCGAGGGGATTTTGAAAAAGAGTTGGTCGTCTCGATGTAGGGCATGCTATGACCGCTTCATTACTCCTCCATTCGCACTGGATTGACCCGGTGATGTTTCTCTACGACAACGGCTTGGATGAAAGAAGCAAGAACATGGAAGGGTTCACTGGAGGTAATTTTGCTGCAAACCAGTGCAGGAATTTGTTAGCGCATCCAACCTCGCTGGCTCCCAGCACCACCTACACTGCGAGTGAGGTGCCAGTCTCTGGCATGGGGGAGCCTGGCAAACAATGTAGCCCCTGTTCTGCCACTCAGAGCTCACCCAATGCATCTTTGCCCTATGGATATTTTGGCAGCAGTTATTACCCATGTCGGATGTCTCACGGCAGCGTCAAGGCTTGCGCTCAGCCCTCTGGCTATGGCGATAAATACATGGACTCATCGGTGTCCGGAGAGGAGTTCTCGACCAGGGCGAAAGAATTTGCTTTTTATCAGGGCTATTCATCGGGTCCCTACCAACCCAGCTACTTGGATGTCCCTGTCGTACCTGCGCTCAGTGCTCCAGCTGAGCCAAGACATGAGCCCCTGCTGCCCATGGAACCCTACCAGCCATGGGCCATCACCAATGGCTGGAGTGGTCAAGTTTACTGCAGCAAGGAGCAGCCCCAGTCAAATCCTCTGTGGAAATCCTCGTTACAAGGTACTTATTTTATTGTTTTATTAGCACAGAAATATGCATTGTTCATGGGAATGTGAAATTAAACTTGCAAAAAAATATGTGCATGTAATGTCTTATGTAAAAATAGATATTTTTCACTGCATAATTCACCAAAAAGAATAGAACATTTAAAAAAAAAATAATAATTTAATTTTTGCAAAAAAAAAAAAATTCTGACGCAATGGAGCAGATCAAAATGTGACACTGCATTTTTTTTTTCCCTCCTCCACAGACTCTATATCTGGTGGAGATAGCTCTATCCGCCGTGGGCGAAAGAAGCGTGTGCCATACACCAAGGTGCAGCTCAAAGAACTAGAGAGGGAGTACGCCACCAATAAATTCATCACCAAGGACAAAAGGAGAAGGATATCCGCGCAGACGAACCTGACAGAGAGACAAGTGACAATCTGGTTTCAGAACAGGCGCGTGAAGGAGAAGAAGATCGTTAATAAATTCAAGAGCTCCAGTTAGCTCTGGAGATACTGAAATGTGGAGGCGAGAGGTGGACATGGATGCGCTTTCATCCAAAAAACTGTGCTATAATTTATTACATTATGAACGGGTTCTTTGTCGCCAGCGCGGC